CATAAAACTCACCTTAGAGCTACACCTGCCTTGGCCTCAGCTCCCCCCCTTTGCGCTAACTAGATTCAGGGCACTTCCTAAGTTCATTTGAGCTAATACACAGTAGTCCTTTTCTGCTTCATAGCTTTCCCACTCCTGATAACTCCCCCCCCCAACTATATTTCCATCCTATCTTTCCTCCGATACCTGCTGCACTCTACTTTCCACAACCAATAGATATCAACCCAATTGGCGCCATCCATATCCCCTGGTGATTTAATATATCTTAAATCCTCTAAGTCTACAGGATTAAATTCTATATGGTCAGGCCCCCACTTGGTTGTCCTCTCAACTGCAACAGTGGTCAAAGTCTCCAGCCTGCCTTCCTGGTTTCACATCACCCAAGCCAAGCAGTGCCCAGAGAACTCCACTCCACCGACAACTCTGCTACTCCTGATTCCGAGCCCTTATCATCTAAATGGTCTTCACAGCTACTGTCACCTACACATCTCCACCTACCTACCTAAGGGTTCAAAAACCCCAGCGTTTTTTCTTCAGTCTCGGATGTGAGCCTTCACTAACAGGAAACTTCTCATCCTAGCTGAGATGCCTGGCACTAGCTGCTACATGGGCATGAACCATCATTCTGTCAACCCTCCTCACCCCAAAAACAACACCCCATTCAGAAGAAAGAAGCCTAAGAGACACATCACCCCTTCATAACAACTAAAAGATTGGAGTGATACATTCTGGCTCTAGTATAAATTGCTGAATTATTATGGTGGTCATCTAACATGGCCAAAGCCTTAAAACAACAGCTTACCTTCCCCAGGTCCACACCCCCCTTCTTCCCCAACCCAGTCCTGGATACAGTTTCCTCTCACCTTTCCTGCCCACACAGGGGAGACCCCAAATCAGCTCCTTACATGTAACTGAAACTGCCCCTCAAAACTCCACCCCAGCAAAAGTCCCTAAGTCTCAGCTTTCTTTGTCTCAGACTGAGGATCCCCCTCACGCCCATCTTCCCTGGGATTCTCTCCATGTTGTCTAGAGTCCATAAAGACCTCTTTTATTTTTCCCATCTCTTTACTGCGCCTTGGAAAAACCTAACACTGATTTAATCAATTTGACTTGAGCAACTATGCTTGTAATTTTACAAGTTGACCACAGTTTCGTCCCACCTCGTGCACAGCCAGCAAATTCCGTGTTTCCCAACTTGAACCTGCCTCATCTCATGGTTTTGTTCTGTAAAGTCCCTAAGGCAGGGTCCTTGGCCCCCCACTCTGGTCCCCCTTCTGTCCCTCTCTCGCACAGGTGCTTTCTTTCCCTCAATAAATATATTCTGCTCTTAAGCAACGTTGTTCCTAAAATTCGTTCTTCCGTTTTGGACAACACAGTTCGTCCCAGGTATCCTTCAGGTCGGGTGTTTCATTCCCCTACATTCAGAGGTGTGGTAGTGCCACACACATCCCGTTCCCAAGTTACTAAATCAAACGTCCCAAGGCCCTCTTCGAGGCCCGAGCTCCGGGTTTTCGGAAGGGGCTGCCACCCAGAAAACAGGCCAACTGCCCCCATCCCACCCCGCCTGCACTGCCTCGTGGGTCCGGGTGGGCGGGCCAGGACTCGCGGCCAAGCGCCTTCGGTGCAACTCGGGACCTTCCAGCGCTCTCGTAAAGGGAGCTTGGAAAGAGAGGGGCTGGGAAGCGCGCAGGGGCTCCAGCGACACCCCACCCCAGCCCCTCCGCCTGGACCCCTCCGCCAGAATCTCCCCAGCTGCGGGGAGGACGCCGCGCTCGCTCCGATCTGGGTCCCTACCTGTCCCGGCGCTCACTCGGCCCGCTCCGGGCGGCAGCAGAAACTCTCCCGGATTTCTCCGGCCCAGCGAGCCCAACGCGAGGGGCTGCGCGGTCCTGCGCGGCGGTCGGCGGGCGGGGAAGAGGGCGGCGCCGGCGGCAGCGAGAGTGGAGCGGAGGGCGGGCCGGGGAGGCCGCGCCAGCCCCCAGGTCTCCGCCGCGCGGGGACCTTCTTCCTCTCCCCTCCCCCTTCCCCTCCCCTTTCCTGAGGGGCTTCTGGCGATCCGAGCCCCAATTGGGACTCACACCCGGGCTCCTCCTCTGGGCGGGTACCACCGCCACAGAAACATCCCCGCCTCTTTCACCAAATAAACAACCCCCACTCCCCCACTCCCAGAGTGGCCGTGGCCTTCTGCCTGAGCCCGCCTCCACCGTTCCTGAAAGCTCTCCGATCCTGTACCCCTGGGCGCCTTCGAAAAGGCTTGGCTGTGACTTAGTGTTTGGATAAAAGGCTCTGGCCACGTGGATTTCCCCACTCGGCTCACCGCACCACTGGAGCATGGAGCTACATCTCCAGCCTTATTTTTTTACTTTGAGACGGTGCCTCTCTAAATCTGTGTTGTCCAGGTTGACATGGAATTTACGATCCTCCTGCCTCAGCCTCACAGAGTGCTGGGATTACAAGGCAGCGATTCTCTCCTGCTCTGAATTTTGTGTTCCAGGGCTAGAGTCTGGGAAGCCCGTGCCTTTTGGCCAATTAAGTCCCTCTGGTAAACACACTTTTCTTCAGCAAGGAAAAGCCCGCTTTCCTCTACTTTAGGGATACCCCAAGTCTCTAAGATCAGCAGGACAGTGGCACTGTATCAGGGCTAGTGTAGACTGTGGGTGTGCTTCTAAGGACAGATATCCAGATGTCTGTCTGTCTTCCTTCCCCCCCACCCACTATGACTCTACATCCTTCCCCCCTACTGTAAGGAGAGGATCTCTTGGGAAGAATGTCAAAGCACTGTCAGCCTCTGATCATCTTTGCTGGTTTTGGTAGCTTAGCAATCATTTGACAATAAGCAAAAGGAACCCACCCAAGTTAGTCGAAGTGGGACAGGGATAGCGTTTCAGCGCAGGGTGAGATGGTGCCCCAGCCGGATGGGGTTGGTCCTCCAAGGTCACGTGAATAGCACTTCGTGGCTGAGAGGTTATCAGGAGCCAACTGCTCCTTCAAGTCTGGTCAGTCTCACTGCCTAAAAGTCTGGGGGCCTAATTTATGAAGAAACTTTAGGTTTGTAGGTAAAAGGAGACTAACTCTGCCACTGAGGTGATTTTATTTTATTTATTTATTTATTTTTGGCAGAACTGGGGATTGAACTCAGGCCCTTGTGCTTGCCAGGGAAGCCCAGCCCCTCACTGAGGTGATTTTATTTTATTTTATTTATTTATTTTTTAAAAATATTTATTTATTTATTTATTTTGTGTGTGTGTGGCCAGCTCAGCCCACCATGGGGCGGGACTGGCTGGCATGTGGTGCTGGGGGATTGAACCGTGGTCCCTGTGTTTTGCTTAGTTTAGCTTGTTCTAAGTAGGTGCTTTAGACCACTGAGCCATCTCACCAGCCCCACTGAGGTGATTTTAAACATTGATGCCATTATTAAGTATCTGCTGTGAACCAGTTGCAGACTATATAATAGAGACAATGTATGTTTACAGACATTAAACAATTTACTTCTTCATGTTTACTATAGATCTATTAGAAACAGCCCAGGAGGTCTCTGGTACAGTGTTGGATCAAGAAAGAATGCCAAAGCCTCAGGTGTCTGGGAAGAGTCCAAAATGATCACACCCCCAGGTGATTCTTCATTACCAAGGAGGAAAAGGGAACCCATTTGGGAGGTGGGGAAATCTCTGTAGACCAAGTGAGCAAAAGAGCCCCCAACAGTGACATCCTGACACCAGGTGTATCTACATGTAACACAAAATTGCCTGTGCAAATTTCTTTCTCTTTTCTTTCTTTTCTTTCCCTTGAGCTGCATACATCTCCAGCCCTGAGCCTACGGATAACAATGAGAGAAACCCAAAAGATCCAACAATCACTCTTGTTGCATCTTGACTGGGCCCTGAATGAGCCTTGACTTTGAGAGTGTCCTCTCCGCCC